GAGAGGGGGAGTGGTGTTTTCTTTCTCTTGTGAATGACACAGTACTGTCCATCCTCCCAGATTCTCAGAGTCCAGGACTGATCATTGAATCCAAACGCACTGTCCAGTCCCCGTCTGCTTCGTCTGATCTTTCTGTAACTCACTGCTATAACAACCGCCCCGCTCCAGTCCACCTCCCAGTAACAGCGCCCCCTCAGGTCAGTGCAGCTCAGGACCTGCTCCCAGTCTGTGAACCTGTCGTCATGATCTGGATACTCCTGGTCCTCCTCCACTCGAGTCACAGTGTGATGGTCGTCAGACAGAAGCAGACGTCTGTGAGCTGAGTTTGGGTCCAGAGAAACGTCACAGGAGTCTGAAACACAAACACTTCACCTCAGTCTTTTGTTCTGACTGAGTCTAGGTTTAGTGCACCTGTCACACACCTGTCACACACCTGTCACACACCTGTCACAGAGATGTCGACATTTGAACCATTTGAAACAGAGTGAATGACCTGAGTGAATGACCTGAGTGAATGACCTGAGCTGTTCTCTGCACTTTACTGTGTGAAGGAAACAAAACAGACTCACACTTCCTCAGACCTGGAACCGTCCAGCGCTCTCCAGCAGGATCCAACCTGAAACACACAAGTCCAGTTTAGACCAGACCAGGACCAGACCAGGACCAGACCAGGACCAGACCAGGACCAGACCAGGACCAGACCAGGACCAGAGACCAGGACCAGAGTTTATATAAATGGACATATATTCTAGACTCTTAGTGTTTTGTGGGTGACAGACCAACATCAGAGTATCAGAGTTTTCAGGAGTCACACAGTCCCCATCACATCTGGACTCACATACACACTAGTGTGAACGAACACTGCACTCACAACAACACCACTCACATACACACTAGTGTGAACGAACACTGCACTCACAACAACACCACTCACATACACACTAGTGTGAACGAACACTGCACTCACAACAACACCACTCACATACACACTAGTGTGAACGAACACTGCACTCACAACAACACCACTCACATACACACTAGTGTGAACGAACACTGCACTCACAACACCACCACTCACATACACACTAGTGTGAACGAACACTGCACTCACAACAACACCACTCACATACACACTAGTGTGAACGGGGCCTGAGTCCAAATGTGACTGAGTTGTAGACGAGTACGACACTGTTCTACCCACACTAACGTGTTGACTGGTAGATGCTGATACTTCTGATCTAGAATCTAAGAGTCTCTGTGGATTAAAGCTGCACTTCCCCATGATCCATCCAGCGTCTTCCTCCACTTTACTGATGTTTACTCGTTTCTGCCGGCGCCACAAACCAAAGTATAATATATAAGTATCAAAAATAAGACTTGGACAACACACTTTAAGACTTTTTAAAGGCCTTAATTTAGGAACATGATTTTTTAAATGAATTAATCATTACATTTGTGCAGCGTCTTTCAAGACTCTCAAAGTTCTTTACACTTCATTATTTCATTCACTCAACACTCTGTGGTGTAAACTACTACTACTGTAGCCACAGCTGCCCTGGGGCAGACTGACGGAACCAAGACTGTCAATCTGCACCATCATCACACACACACTAGGCAATGTGTGTGAAGTGTCTTGCCTAAGGACACAACAACAGTTGTTACCACTGGTGCCTCCAGGAGATTCTGAGATTTGACAAACTGATGTGGGCAACATTTTAAGAAACATAAGACTTTTTAAAGACTTTTAAGACCCTGCGGCTCCCCTGACATATATTATATATATATTATATATTATATATATATTATATATATATATATTATATATTATATATTATATATTATATATTATATATTATATATATATTTCTGACCTTGGTGAAGATATCTTGAGGCGTGGTTGTTCTTGAGGAGAGTGTGTTTCTTTGAGTCGTTCAGTCATGTTTGGTCCTGTGAGCTGAAACAAAACACACACAGTCAACTCCAGACTCGTCCTGTTCCACTGCTCAAGTCCAACAACATGGGTCAGTACATCACAGGACATTATACATGTTAGAGCCGACAAAAAGACCCAAAATAATCATCACTATTGATACTAAAACAGTGTCACTGACAGAACAGAGCAGAACCTTTCCTCAATGTGTTTAGAACATCTGGATCAGAACAAGTACAAGAGCACAGAGACTAGAATACACCCATGGACCTGGTTTAGACCTGGTTTAGACCTGGTTTAGACCTGGTTTAGACCTGGTTTAGACCTGGCTTAGTCCTGGCTTAGTCCTGGTTTAGTCCTGGTTTAGTCCTGGTTTAGACCTGGTTTAGTCCTGGTTTAGACCTGGTTTAGTCCTGGTTTAGTCCTGGTTTAGACCTGGTTTAGTCCTGGTTTAGACCTGGTTTAGTCCTGGTTTAGACCTGGTTTAGTCCTGGTTTAGTCCTCGCCACTTGCAGCTATATTCTTTTGTTCTCGTTGTTGTGTCGTCATCGTGGGTCAAGTCTAGTTTCTGTTCTGTTTTGTCTCGTCACTCACCAGAGTCACAGAGGAACTTTGATCCCACAGTCCAAACCCTGGAAACAGAGGCTCAGAGAAGGACGAGGAGAAGGTCCAGAGGAGGGACAGTTCTTCATCAGAGGAGACGTCATAGAAGGACAGAGCTCCAGCCTCAGAGTCCAGGAACACGCCCACTCTGCCAAAGAACACGCCCCCTCTCTCTGAGTGACAGGAGCGGTGGAGTCGTCTTGACTTCCTGTTGTGAATAACAAAGTATTCTCCATCCTCACAGATCCTCAGACTCCAGGACTGATCATTGTATCCAAACCCACACTCCCATCCTTGTTCGCTCTGTCCAATCCCTCTGTAACTCACTGCTATATAAACCCTCCCTCTCCAGTCCACCTCCCAGTAACAGCGCCCCCTCAGGCCAGTGCAGCTCAGGACCTGCTCCCAGTCTGTGAACCTGTCGTCATGATCTGGATACTCCTGGTCCTCCTTCACTCGAGTCACAGTCCGATGGTCGTCAGACAGAAGCAGACGTCTGTGAGCTGAGTTTGGGTCCAGAGAAACGTCACAGGAGTCTGAAACACAAACACTTCACCTCAGTCTTTTATTATGACTGAGTCTAGGTTTAGTGCACCTGTCACACACCTGTCACACACCTGTCACGCACCTGTCACGCACCTGTCACACACTTGTCACACACACTGTCACACACCTGTCACGCACCTGTCACGCACCTGTCACACACCTGTCACACACCTGTCACACACCTGTCACAGAGATGTCGACATTTGAACCATTTGAAACAGAGTGAATGACCTGAGTGAATGACCTGAGTGAATGACCTGAGTGAATGACCTGAGTGAATGACCTGAGCTGTTCTCTGCACTTTACTGTGTGAAGGAAACAAAACAAACTCACACTTCCTCAGACCTGGAACCATCCAGCGCTCTCCAGCAGGATCCAACCTGAAACACACAAGTCCAGTTTAGACCAGACCAGACCAGGACCAGACCAGGACCAGACCAGGACCAGAACCAGACCAGGACCAGGACCAGACCAGGACCAGAACCAGACCAGGACCAGAACCAGAACCAGACCAGGACCAGGACCAGACCAGACCAGGACCAGGACCAGACCAGGACCAGACCAGGACCAGACCAGAACCAGGACCAGACCAGGACCAGACCAGGACCAGGACCAGACCAGGACCAGACCAGACCAGACCAGGACCAGACCAGACCAGGACCAGACCAGGACCAGACCAGGACCAGACCAGGACCAGAACCAGACCAGACCAGGACCAGACCAGGACCAGGACCAGACCAGACCAGACCAGACCAGGACCAGACCAAGACCAGACCAGGACCAGACCAGGACCAGAGTTTATATAAATGGACATATATTCTAGACTCTTAGTGTTTTGTGGGTGACAGACCTACATCAGAGTATCAGAGTTTTCAGGAGTCACACAGTCCCCATCACATCTGGACTCACATACACACTAGTGTGAATGAACACTGCACTCACAACAACACCACTCACATACACACTAGTGTGAACGAACACTGCACTCACAACAACACCACTCACATACACACTAGTGTGAACGAACACTGCACTCACAACAACACCACTCACATACACACTAGTGTGAACGGGGCCTGAGTCCAAATGTGACTGAGTTGTAGACGAGTACGACACTGTTCTACCCACACTAACGTGTTGACTGGTAGATGCTGATACTTCTGATCTAGAATCTAAGAGTCTCTGTGGATTAAAGCTGCACTTCCCCATGATCCATCCAGCGTCTTCCTCCACTTTACTGATGTTTACTCGTTTCTGCCGGCGCCACAAACCAAAGTATAATATATAAGTATCAAAAATAAGACTTGGACAACACACTTTAAGACTTTTTAAGGCCTTGATTTAGGAACATGATTTTTTAAATGAATTAATCATTACATTTGTGCAGCGTCTTTCAAGACTCTCAAAGTTCTTTACACTTCATTATTTCATTCACTCAACACTCTGTGGTGTAAACTACTACTGTAGCCACAGCTGCCCTGGGGCAGACTGACGGAACCAAGACTGTCAATCTGCACCATCATCACACACACACACTAGGCAATGTGTGTGAAGTGTCTTGCCTAAGGACACAACAACAGTTGTTACCACTGGTGCCTCCAGGAGTTTCTGAGATTTGACAAACTGGTGTGGGCAACATTTTAAGAAACATAAGACTTTTTAAAGACTTTTAAGACCCTGTGGCTCCCCTGACATATATTATATATATTATATATTATATATTATACTTTATATATTATATATTATATATTATACATTATATATTATATATTATATATTATATATTTCTGACCTTGGTGAAGATATCTTGAGGCGTGGTTGTTCTTGAGGAGAGTGTGTTTCTTTGAGTCGTTCAGTCATGTTTGGTCCTTTGAGCTGAAACAAAACACACACAGTCAACTCCAGACTCGTCCTGTTCCACTGCTCAAGTCCAACAACATGGGTCAGTACATCACAGGACATTATACATGTTAGAGCCGACAAAAAGACCCAAAATAATCATCACTATTGATACTAAAACAGTGTCACTGACAGAACAGAGCAGAACCTTTCCTCAATGTGTTTAGAACATCTGGATCAGAACAAGTACAAGAGCACAGAGACTAGAATACACCCATGGACCTGGTTTAGACCTGGTTTAGACCTGGTTTAGACCTGGTTTAGATCTGAGACTGTGACACTGACCTGAGCTCTGCAGATTCTCCACTTTGGTCTTTTTTAAAGGTGATGATTAAATCTTTGGAAGCGTCGCTGCGCAGAGAGACTCCACTGGGACCAGGACCTGCTTCAGACCTGAGATAGTCCTGGTTTAGTTCTGGTTCAGAGATTTTCCTGAAATGAAACAAACTCAGTGACAGGTGTTTGTGTTTGTGTGTGTCTCACACAGAGTGAATAAAACACATATGACTCAGAACCAGTCCGTCCAGTCCAGCAGCTTTCTGTTTGTGCAGCGACCCAGACCTGAGCTGGAATGAGACACTCTGGTCCAGTCTGGTCCAGTCTGGTCCAGTCCGGTCCAGTCCGGTCTGGTTCACATTAAAAACCCTGTAGAAGTTTGTGTTTTTTGGTCTGAGTCAGTGTCAGTAAAACAGATCCAGTGTGTGATCGACTCTAATGTTTGTGGAGGAGGAAGTTCCTCGTTCGTGTTTGTGCAGCGCAGGAGAGAGTCACGTTCACACAAGAAAAAACTCATTTGTAAAACCCAGATTTGACTGAAACCTTCAGAACTAAACACAAAACACACACAGACTTTTATAAAACACACAGACTCACCAGAGACAGTTCACACTCACGTCCTCAGTCTGTTATGACACCGAGTCGCTCTGTCAGTGAGCCACAGAGCCACACCCGAAAGTGTTCACAGGTCACAGATCATCTCTGGAGCTGAGCAAAAAGAGCACTCACTCTGCTCACAAGTTCAGAAGTTAAACCTTCGTGTGAGACCAAAGAGCAACAGCAGATCTGTCACTTCTGCATCAAACGGCCTGAACACTGGACCACGTCTTCATTTTATGACTTTTATCAATAATGAACCAAACAGATTTTATAATAACGGATTATAAATAATTTAGTGTTTATATTTTCAGCCTGACTTCAGACTAATGTACTGATACCCAAATCAATGTCATTCTTTAGAATGTTTTGAATCGGCCTCATGTTTGTAAAATAATGTGCATGTGTGAAACTCTCCTGTAAATATTCATTTCCATCTCAGCACTGAACACACGATTTGATCAAATTGACTAAAACTACAAATCTGACGTCTCTGTTTTCATCAGTCTCTAAACTTCACTGTGACCAGAACATGGAACTATTCTGATTTGGAATTTCTGTTTTAAAACCAAGACTCAGTCTCAGAAAAACATTTAAACTTGTAACAAGATTCACATTTGAGAGAAAACGGACATAAAAACTATTAAACTACAACATGTACTATAATAACATATATGTACTATAACATATTGTCAGGGAATTTACCCTAAGACATCAAATTACATTAAAGACACACCAAAACGAGACGGCTTAGTTTTTACTTGCGCAAGGAGAGAGCTGTCTGAACACTGACCTCTTCTGACAGCTCCTCCCCAACAGCAGCTTTTATTTCAGTCATTTCACAGATACAATACAGTACATTATGTTATATCACACAATGTTTACAATGATCACATACTAACAATATTTAGGCTAAACCACCTCCCATTTCACACTTGATCACAGGCTCCAGGTGATAAACAATTTGGTCAGTTTTCTCCCAAAAACTTATGCAAACCACATGAGGGAAAAACCCTTAGTCGTCTTCTCATGGGCGACTCAGTAGATGAGTTTAATGAGTCAGCAGTTCTTGTACTAGGACATATGATAAACATATGGAAAAACCCAAAAACGCAATTGTTGATAACTTTAATCACACACACAAATGATTATGATTTTAAATGATTCATAATATTTAAAATAACACAAATTCTTTCACACATATATATATATAACATATATTCTTGTAGGTGTTGAAGGTGTTGATGGTTCTGGACGGGTGGCTGGGGTTGTAGACACTGATGAAGCTGGGAAGACACCTGAAGTGAATGGCACAGGGGAATCTGGAGGAGCCTGAGGAACATCCTCTGACTCAGCACTAAACAAAAGAAAAGGAAAAAATGTTAGTTTGTGTAAAACGTGTGTATTACATATGTACTACAACAAGTCTAAGTCTAGTGCAGCAGGGGCAAACACAATGCACAACCCCATCCCCCACCCAAATGGTGTCAACAGATTATGACCTCACTAATTACCGGGTCTACGCCAAGCGCACATCTGCTCACATCTGCTCACACCTGATTCATTGCTCAGCACTCGGCCGTTTACGTCCTGTTGGATGTATTATGTATCATTTGCAAGTAAAAAAACTTTTCAAATAAAAATAGTAAGGGATGCGCAGTTACGCACACAAGATGCGTAATTTGCCATTTACTTGAGAAATAATGGTACTTAGGTCGGCTTTATCAAATGCTATGAGCTCAGTCGCTCAGAGGAGAAACTATCTTGACTTACAACAATCTTTGGCAAAGTTTGGGCCAATGAAAATGGATGGAGCGCGTCACGCGCCGAAGAGCGAAGATCCTATTGGACGCCTGTTTTCACTACGTCACCACGCAGCGTGTGTGTGACGTAGGATGATGCCGGAAAGATGCTCGTAAAGCCACGGGTCTTATCTTTACAAGAAAAAAAAAGGGTTCAATTCTAAACTTGAAAAGTGTCATTAGAGAAGAGAGTTTGTTTACCTGAGCAACGAGACGAGGCCCCACCCCCAAAGTTCACCAGGGTCAAAGAACGAGACGCTACACACAGTGTCCTTATATCAGCCCAAGTGCCACCTGCTGGTGGAAGACAGAACGTGCACCCTGCTCCTGCATCAGGTCATGAGGGTGATTGTGTGTGGAGGGAGTGACTTCAGGTCAGTGCATCAGGTCATGAAGGTGACTTGTGTGGAGGGAGT